TAAATTTTATTATTTAAAATATATTTTATTCAGGCTGGGGATTTAACTGAGTGGTACTGTCACCTGCCTCACAAATTCAAGGTCCCGAGATCAATCCCTGTTACCAAAAAACAAAAAAATACATTTTATTGAATAAATGTTTATGCAGACCTTACCATGTGATGGACACTTTTCAACGAAATTTTTAAATATAAACATATTTAATAAAATTAATTCCATGGTTAAAATTTTTTGATAAGTGTATTATTTGAATATAATTGGTTTCATTTATATTTTATCTCATGCTTTTAACATTATTCTGATAAGGGGTCCATGCGACCAAAAACCGTCAAGAACCCTCACTTTGTATTCCCTGGGCCACACTAGGCAGAGGCTGGAGCTGAAGTGGGCTAGAGACTGGGAGGACTCAGGAATCCTGCATTGTCATCCCAGCTTCATCATCCACTTTGTGGTGCAACATAAGTCTTTGTCCTCTGAAGATCAAGTCTTTGTCATTTGGAGACTTGTTTTCCTTAGCTGCAATAGTGGTGAATGAGCCATTTTCCCTTGAAAGCTCACAGAGCACTGTGAAGATCATGTGACATAATGTCTGTGCATCATTGGGTTGCTTTGAAAATCTTTTAAAGTACCACGTAAGGTATTTATTGAGGAACATTAATGAGTTAAGGTTTCAGAGGTCTGGTGCTACTGACAACTGTCAATTTTAGGGTACTCTAATATTCAAACATACTTGAAGTGAATGCAGTTGGGCAGAACACTCTTTAATATGTCCTACATAGCATTTTCTACCTAAGATCTCACATTGTCCATAAGGCTCAATAGTGTGAAGGGCTCATACCTATGTGCAATCAATTTCTTTTCTTCTCTTGCCCTAATAAATAGCGTGCCTTTGAGATCTTCCTCCCAGATACAAAATTTAGGCAAGCCATGATCTTCAAAGCTTACTGTCAAACCAAATAACTGGGATGATTTTATGGCTCTTGGGATGTGGAAGATGGAAGCCCAGTTTGGCGTCTTTGTGCAGCCTGTGCTATGAGGGAGGACCAGAATTGGAAGGATCCCGAGACTCTCTCTGAAAACAGCAGAAGTTTCACCTAGTCTTATGCAGCATTGGTCAGAAAAGCTATTTTTCTGAGCTAGCAGGTCTCATTCTTCTTTTAAGTGATGCCATGGGATTTCCAGTACTATAAAGGTAGCTCTGGAGTCATTCACATGCTGTTAATATGGTTATTATGATAACAATTTACTGAGCGCCTTGTCAGGCACTTTATGTTGACCAGAGACAATTCTTTGAAGGAAATATACTTCGATTTCCACTATTTCTTAAAGTCAAAGTCTCGGGTTGTAGTCCAGGCTGGCCTCAAACTTGCAGCAATCCTCTTGCCTCAGTTTCTTGAGTGCATCACAGGCATGTGCCACCACACCTAGCTAGATTGCCCCTTTATAGATGAATATAAGAAGTGTCAGAGAAGTTAAGTGACACTGTTAGACAGTGACATGGGAAATTATGGTATAATAGCAAGAACACAAATTGAAGCCAGGCTAACCTGCATTCAATTTCTGGGCTTCGGCACATATTGCTGCGTACCTAGCTCAAGTAATCAAACTTTTTCAAGTCTGTTTTCTCCTCTTGCCCATCTTTCAAGCTCCCTAACATTTTGGTTCCTCTACAGTACCTGGTACATGATCATTGTTTAGCAGGGTCTCCCACAGAAACATGAGGGAAGGAGTCATGTTGTGTTTGCTCCTTAATTTCTAGGGCCAAGACTGGCACACATCAGGTACTTCATGGTGGCACATAAATGAACAATGTAGGGTTTATAATACTTACCAATTAGGTTAAATAAATTATTAGAGCAGTAGGAAATTTTTTGGGCTTGCAATTGGAAAGACCATGATTTAAGGCTCATCTCTGCCTCTTTGAAACTTAAACAAGGTACTGTACATCTCCAAGTCTCAGCTGAAGCAGAGTGGAGTATCTTCTACTTTTCACACTATAGGAAAGGTGAATGAATAAATATCTTTATTTATCATTAATCTATCATGTATCTATATCCTGGTTCATGGGACTCACTGATCAATGTTAGCTTTTATTATTGTTGTGGCCTGTACCTAGATGTCCCCCCAAAAGCCTCATACACTCATAGGTGGGGCTTTTCAAAGAGGATATGATGCTGGGATTAAGGTTGCCCCACTCTGGGTATAGGTGGCACTGCTCAAAGGGCGGGTGTCCTGGATGGAATATAAAGGAACAGGAAAAAAAAGGCGGCTTCTGCTGCTGCCATAACTTGCTGCTTGCTGCCTTCTCCCAGCCCTGCTATGCCACGGACTGTTTCTCCTCTGTGATGTCCCTCTGTCATGCCACCCTGCCTTGGAGGAAGCTGACTATGCACTGAAACCTCTACAAATTGTGAGCTGAAATAAACCTTTCCTTCTTTAACTTATGGTGTTGGGTATTTTGCCTCAGCAATGAGAAAGTAACTAATTATTATTATGTATTATTATTTTCACAGAGCTAAGCATGCTATGCAAGTTTTCATTTACAAAACATTTACTGTGCACCTACAATGCCCCAGGATCTGGGGATAATGATAGTGAACAGGGGAAATGAGGACCACACTGTCAGAGAACTTACACTCTGGAGGGTAGGCAGGGTGAGGGCACTGAGAGTAATACAGTTCAGGTTCGAAGAGCCAGGCATCATTCCCACCTTATCAACACTGTGCACGGTTGGTAAACACTGAATATTTTTACAGCTTTGGCTAAAGTGGGAAGGACTTAAATTCAATCTGTTAAAAGCTATCCTTCTATCTTTTGGAAAGCAAAGGCTGGACCTACTCCTTTTGTATCCTACAGTGCCTGGCACAGTGTGTGGGATAGAATAAATGTTTGGAAAAGGCTTGAACAGCTGACTTCCTTTGTTGAGGCCCACTGACAAGATGTACCACACAATTCTGGGCGTGAACATAAAAACAGATCTTTAAAATGTGGGTAACAGGAAGAAAAGAGACAAAGGGGAGAGGCAAGGGAAGGAAAGAAGGGAATGGAATTAATATGAGAAAATGAAAAATAATGGAAACAAAGTCTTTGTAGATAGGGAGGGAGGGACGGTTTGAAGGGAGGGCAGGGGAAAAATAAGAACCAAGATTGATTATATAAAGGCACAAATTTCCATGTCATTATATCGTCTACAGTAAATGTAACAATAAAATTAATTTTAAAAATTTCCAGATGAGGTTAGTAGGACTGAATAAAATGCCAAGGGAAAGCAGAAAAAATAATGTGGGTAAGGTCAGAAACTTTGGCTGAACATAACCATTATTATAACTCTTTGTTGAGAACTCACCATGGCTCACTGGCCAGGCTGTTTGAAGATCCTGTCTTGTTGAATCTTTCCTCCCACTCTTTGAGGTAGATATAAATTCTCCTTAATTTTGTCTATAAGGAAATTGAATCTTTCATTGTGACCATGTAACTTCCCTGCAGACCCGTGGGCAGGAGGTAATTTGGGCAACATAACTCCAAAATAAGTGCTCAGCAGATGGCAGCAATTGTGGAGAAAAATGGAGCCAGGTCTATCTGATGCATTGTCCTAGGCATCTGAGAATCCCAAGGGTTTACCTAGTTTTACTGGGTGCACTGAAAGTTTTTGCACATTTATGCTGTCCTTTTGAATAATAATTTACTCTGTACTATATGGAAACCATACATTTTGGGGTCCAAATTAAAAATAAATTTCCATATAACTTGGAACACAGATATGTGCCTAATTCTTTAAAAAAGCAACTTATTCATTTGTATTAAAGATGCTTAACAAGCAACTTGGCAATATTACAAAATCAGATCTAGAGCTATCACAGGACTGGGGAGGGAGATGAAACAACCATTTGTAAAGTAAGAGGAAACGTGTATTCACTATTTTCTGCCAAATATCTAACAGCTGTATCTCATAGAAATAACAAAACAGCAATATTTCAAAATTATGGAGGAACACCAGAGCCATAAATAGCACTGAGGATTTTGAAGGAATAATCGCTTCATTAATAAATCTCTGTGGTGAATGTAAAGAATTGTGAGAAATGGCATGTGCTGCAATGTGATTATGTGGTATAATGTAAACAACTCTGGACTAGTGTATCAGTCAGGGTTCTGCAGATAAGCTGCCAAGTTTGAGGGCAGGAAAGCAGGCTGGAAATTTCTGGCAGGAGGGCAGGAGTTGATCTTGCAGTTTTGAGCCGGAAGTAGCTTGGAGGTAGATTTCATTTCTCAGGGGACCTCAAGTCTCTCCTCTTAAGGCCTTTAACTGATTAGATGAGGCCCATTCACATTTTGGTAGGTAATCTGCTTTAGTCAAAATCAACCAGTTTAAATGCTAATCACGTCTGAAAAGTACCTTCACACCAACATCTACACTGGTGTGGGACCATGGAAATGGTCAAGTTGACACAGAATATTAATCATCACAGCTAGTATATTCAAATACACTGGGGAGACAACCCTGGACCAAAGTGGCAGGTATAATAGAAGCAGTTTGCAATATAAATAGATTAAGTAAAGGAGAGTGAAGTATTTAGGGAGGGCAGCTGCTATGTTAAAATTTAATTTTATTTAACTTACTTACTTATGGAATAACTGGTAAGTGGAAAATGCGCCTTGCTTTCCTACATATTATTAAAACAAGGCATTCCAGGAACCCCCGAGACTGGTGAATCAACACCTTCCACTGTGTTGATGACAGAGGTGCTTCGGAGAGGAAGTTAGTGTAAAAATAAGCTGAGCTTTCTCTGGGGCTACAGTGGGGTGCTCGAGGGTAAGCCAGCTTTGGCAGGAATGGGCTGATAAGGAAAGCTGTTTCTAGCTGTCAGGTAGGGTTAGCATGTTCTTCCAATATCCTGGTAACACAAAGGGAGAAACTGAGGTGATCTACCAAAGGGTCACTTAGAAAGCACGTTATTCAAAACAAAACACAAACTGAGGTATACAAAAGAAATATTTATCTTTTAAAAATACAACTTTGAACACTACTGGCATCTCATTTACAAAGTCTTTTTGTGGAACACTCTCCACTGGCTTTGCTTATTCAGTGCATCCTCTTACCTTCCAGGCAGTTCAAGGGAGGGCAGGCTTATGTTCTAAGCCCCATAGCTGCTACCACAAAAATAAATAAATAAAGCCCGTTCTAGCCCCAAAGCCCTATCCTTTCCTTTCATTTTCTACCAAGCAGAACTTCCTAAACGATCCACTTCCATGCCACCTTTGCAACCTGCTGTTGGGGCATAGTAGAACAGGAGGTGTCCCCAGCAATCAGCGCTCCAGGTAGAGCAGACCGATTTGTAGGAAACCTCAACACTTTGGCCCATTATTTACCCACTAGTTCATTACTATTAATACTCATATCCTCATATCAACTCTTGGCAAACATTCAGCACGAAGTAAACATAGTATTTACAGTAGTACGCAGTTTGCAGTTTGACACACTGACAGCAGAAAAAAGGGACCAACAGACTTCAGAAGGCCAGAGGGGAGAGTACTTCAATAAATTCCTTCTGCTAATGTGCACGCACCCACCTGTGAATGCATTTCAATTCATAGAAAACTAATCATGCTCTCCTTTAAAAGCAGACTATTTACAAGAGATTTTTGAATAGCACAAACACATGCTAGTCATACTGAATACTTGCTTTTGGTGAAGACATCTAGATTTATTTTTTTGAAATTCTAAATAGACCTTTTTTAACTACTGGAAAAAATAACAACTTTGGAACATTTGTCAACTTTTGGTTCAGAGTAATTTTGCAAAAAGCCACAAACCATGCTTTGTTGTTTCAAAGGTCAACCTGGTAAGCACCAACCAGAGGACACTGATGCGTTATTCATTTACTGGTCTACTAGAGATTAGAAAGACAATGGCAGTTACACAGAGTACTTAGTGCTCCTCTAATTCCTATCCAGTAGCAGCAACATTAACATGAAAAGTTTGGAAACACAAATCACATATGAATCATTAAAACATTTCAATTAACAGTTTTTTTTAAAAAAAATACCAAGGTCTACAACAGTAGTACAAACACTGAAAACACTCCAAATACTCTTTAGTCAGAGGACTTTTTCAATACTACTAATAAGAAAAGAACCAATTGCCAGAAAGGGGAGGGAGTTACAGCACTTGAGGTTTGAGGCAAATTCTTCTTCGGACCTGTAGCTTGAAGTGCTATTCCAGGATCCGTATTTCAATTTAAAAGATACTCAAGGAATGAACTGACAAATTTAAAGCAACTTCCACTTGAAAATCATTGAAAACACAAATCACTTTTCTAAGCTTGTCCAACACATATTTATTTTCAGGATCCTATGGTAGGCAAAGAGATTCAGGTCAGTTTCAAGCCTTCAAAGCCACAGAATTTCCATCTCTTCTCCAGGCTGGCTCCAACTCCGGTCATTTCCTGCTTGAAGGTATGCTGGAGTCTACTCATGAGGCATTCCACGTCACTGGTACAGATCTGCAGGGCAGAGAGCACACCCTCCATTCTAAACAAGTTTCATGCTCTCAATTGTGTCTTCTTTCTCAGTGCTGCCTACTTGATGATGATGATGATGATGATGATGATGACGATGATGATGAGTGTGTGTGTTAGGGATGTGTGTATGGCTTAACCTGCTCCCCTTCTTGTGCATTTATGTGTGTTGGTAGAGTGGCTTACAGACAGTGGTGTTCCTCTGCTGTGACCACCAGACACTGTTCGTTCACTCACTGAACTTGCTATTGGAAAGAGCTGATATCAGTTGCATGGAGCAGTGTGGGTGTATAGTCAGCTTAATAATGGCTGCTCAGTGCAGGAACTGCTATGTGAGGCCCACTGAAGCTGCCAAGTCTTTTGGGAGGGGAAGAAGGCAGAATTCTTCACACAAACATTCACTTTGAAAGGAAAAGTAAAAGGAATGGGCAGTGCTCTGTGTTCCTACTTCTATGCATTGTTTCTCTTTCCTCACTTCACACACAGACAGACAGACAAGAAACATATCCACTCCTCTACCTTAACACAAAAGCAAATGTGTGGAATCCTTGAGAGCTTGTTTTAGGCAGTCATCTTTGCCTTAGTAGCTACCTTCCTAACTCTGAGCCTAGGCACCAGGGCTTGGCTGAAACCCTCAGCTTTTTGTTTCAACACTTTTTATCCTTGCCTCAATTGTTTCATAGTAGGTAATGCATTGGTGATGGCGGGAGGGCTATTTGCAATAAGAAATTCTGAAAATTAACATTTGCTTACAGATAGGGAACCAAGACAAAAGTTGGATGGGCAGGAAAGCTGGTTAATTTGCAGTTGATATGTAAATCAAGAGAAGGGAGGAAAATTCTTCTCAGATGTATCTTGGAAGTATGGTGGCCAATTCATTCAACCTTGCCCTAGACTTTCATGGTTTTAGCCCTGAAAGTCTCAAGTGCAAGGACACTCCTCAGTCCTCCACCAGCCTAGACAGTTGGTCATCCTTCTTGCAAGAGAGAAACTCACTGGATCACAGTGAAATAGCAAGTGAGGGAAATTTCCTTAGATCAATAAATAATAGCTTATTTATGCATACATAAAGTAAGGTCACCTGTTCACAAAGAGACCTACATCCCCTGGATTCCCTCCTTCAGGCCCCACATACCTTATTATCAAGACGGTGCAAGTAGGAACAGATGTATTCAATGCTTGCTCCAAATGGGTGAACATGAAGGAACGTGGAGATAATCCCTAGAGAGATAATCCTAGAGGTTACACTTGAGCGTGGCATTCCTTGAGATGTTTCACGTGACAGACTTAACTCATATGTATAACACCTACAAATGTACAACGTAAATATACTAGATGCTACTCTAAATTTACATATATTCATTTAACCTTCACAATAACCTTGTGAGGTAAGTATTCCTCATTTTACAGATGAGGATACTGAGATACAGAAAGTTGAAGCAAGCAGCTCAAGATCACACAGCTGCTAAGTGTAAGAGCTGCTGGAACGCAGACCTTTGCTCTTAATCACTACACATGCTGCCTCTTACTATATCACAGGCAGAAAAACTGACAATGAAACAATCACTTCCATAACTTGTGATGGTTAAGGAATATCTTAATTCTAGAATTTTACAACGACTTTAGATTATGCTACGCTTTCGCAGTTCTTTCTACACCTACGAGGCTAAGTCTTTAAATTAGACTTTAAGGTGTAAATGTCTTGCTGTTGGGGCAAACATACACATCAGGTACTTTGCCTAATTAACCCAGTGCTTCTCATAACACAATCTGCTGATTATGTTTGGATTTTATTTTGGGAGTAGCTCTGTAAAGAAAAGCTAAACATTTCATTCATGGCTGACTCAAGTGGTCACTAGCATGTTTTGTTTAGAGTCCTGAATCTCTTCACATTACAGAATTCTTAAAGCAGTTTACAGCCTCCAGGGATGCACCTGACTTCTACTCACCCTAACTCTAGGGTGATTGGCAGCTGCTCTAACTGCCTTGATTAGGCTGGCCATTAGCTTAATTGTTCTAATCTTTCTCTGGCATAAAGTCAAAAAAATTGCTCAAAATTATACTATTTAAGTTATTTGGAATTCATCTCCTTTTATAGGATCTTTGGACATTGAACAGACCCAGACTTCTGTTTGCTGAAAACTGCCAGAAAAAAAGTGAAATCTGATTTGGTTTATAAACTACAACTTTTCTGTCCATTTACAAGACTGACAGAATAGCACAAGTTTAAATTGTAGCTTGAAGTGCAGTCAGTTGTTTGAGAAAAAAAATCTTTCAAGTATCAGATGGCAAAGAGATTGTTCGGGGGACTTTAGGAGGAACTGATGGAGGAGCTCAAAATCTGCTCACAACGGATGCTGCTGCCGCTAACATGACATTATTCTTAAATGACTAGGTAAATTGAATTTCTCAACACTGATTCTAGTTGAGAAATTTAAATTCTGAGAAGACAATACACATTCAAAGAAATTCTAGATGTCATGGCCAAGAAAGACTGTCAAGTGCCAAGAAATAACTCCATAGTTTAAAAACACTAAGCAGTTTTTGTGAGTTCACAAAGAATAGACTTTAAAAAAACAGATTTCTCTTTCTCTCTGTCAGCCCAAGACTGCATTCTTTAAAACACAGAACAAGAAACATTATTTTTAAGAACCATTTTTCCCCCTCAGGCTATCCATTACAGAGGCTTCCTACACCCAGCACTTCTCTGACACATCTCAGTTGCTGTGCTGATTTGTTAAAAATGAGTTGGAAAACTTTGAAAGTTGTCACTTTTCCTGAGGCCTTAATGGCAGATCTCCCTGTGCATTCTTATTAACATATCAAAGTATTAAATCTGAGTATGATACCCATTACCAGAAGAGGCAGATGTATCTTGAAAATAAGCAGAAGGCAATTAGTTTGGAAGATTCTGGAGACTAGGGCCTGGCTACTGTAAGACTCAACTTCTTACAAGGCAGCTGGGATTAACTAGGCCCCTCTTAATGACTGAATATTTTATTTTTTAAATTATTTAACTTTATTGGTGCATTTAAGGTATCCGGCGTAGTGACATTCATCATTGGAAATTTGCACCTTTACATAATCCATCTTGGTTCTTATTTTTTCCCCATTCCCCTGCCTTTCCCTTCAACCCCTCCACTCCTCCCTATCTACAAATACTTTGTTTCCATTTTTTCTTTTTCTCATGTTATTCCCATCTTTTTATAGTTTCTCTAGTGTGAGAAACTGAAAGTGTAAATAAGGACTAAAAGGTATAATAGATAATTTGAAACAGGAAGAAAAGGTGCAAAGTGGAAGGGGAAGTGGGAAGGGTAGGGAAACAATGACTATTTTAGAACCTCAATCTGCCACTGTTCTCCAAATGGAATACAAAGCCAACAAGCATTTGGAAATAGCATTGTAAGTATAAAATGGGCCCTGTCCTGTGCTGAGTGACTTAAGCTAATTATCATACGTAATACTTCAACTGCTCTTTGAGGTTGGTGACATTATTATGCAGAGGGAGGAACTGAAGTTTAGGAAAGGAATGGTGTGGTCCACATGGAAAGCCAGGTCTGTCTAATTTCTGAACCATTTGTGTGATCTTGACTTTCTGAATGAATTTTCATACAGTGAGAACAATACATCATACTTGTATTTGTTTCACTGGAGCCCACCATTGTCCAACACACCACATCCATCCTCCTGGGTCATCTGCCAATGTACAGTAGTAAAGAAATAAATATTTGGTAGCTGTCACAGTGCCTGGCACAAGCTCCTAAAACTAGCATTTCTGGAGTGATAGAGTATCTTTTGTATGCTTATGAATGCCTGCGGTGGGGGGGGTGTAAATAGCTTCAGGTTGGTGTCTGGCTGCCAGTAAGAGCAAGGAATGATTAGAGAGTTGGTACATTTTAGGGATACAGTACAGTTACATTCATTGTTGGGATCTTGTACCTCTACATGACAAGTCTTGATTCTCATTTTTTCCCCTTACCTCTGCCCTCCCTTCACCCCTTCTTCCCCTCCCCATCTACAAACACTTAATTTTCAGTACTCTCCTCCAACTACATCTATATAATGAAACCTCACTAAACATCTCTAATTCGATGGAGTTCAGAATTTTCCAGTTGGGGAGCACACTAAGACACAGGGAGGGAGGTATGCCCAGAAAGGGCACATAGTGGTACATCAGTTCACGAACTTAATTCTTTCCATGATTTTGGTTGAAAACTGATTTGGACAAGAACAAAATCCAATTCAATGGTTAGGATCAATGTTGACCTTATGTGGAAAGCTGACTTGGTTCATGTCGAGTTTAGTTTGTGAACAGAGTCACAGAAAGAAGTTTGTAAACTGATGTACTACTGCATAACCCCTCCTAGTACCATGCCTTATGCATCTCTTCCATTTGGTTGTTCTGAGTGTGTCCTCTAAGATAAACTGGTAATAGAAGTAAAGTACTTCCCTGAGCTCTGTGAGTTGTTCTATCAAATTACTGAACCCATGGGGTGGAGGTTGTGAGAACTCCTGACTCTAGCAGAATGCAACAGTAGCGTGTGGGAGTTGGAAATGTAGTTTGCATCTGGAGTGTCTTCCATAGGCCTATGTATAAAGGCTTGGTCCCTATCCCACAGCTTTGTTGAGAGATAATACAACCTTTAAGAGGTGGAGCCTAGTGGGAGGTCTTCCAGCCATTGGGGCACAGCCATGAAGAGGTTTTTGGGACCCTGGCCCTGCCCTACCCCTTTTGCATCCTGGCCACAAAGTGAAGGCTTTTGCTACACACTGCTGCCATGATATGTTGCCTCATCACAGATCCACAAGTAGCAAGGCCAATCAACCATGGGCAGAAACCTCCAAAATTGTGAGCCAAAATAAACTTTTTATATGCTGATTACCTCAGGTATTTGTGAGAGTAAAGAAAAGCTGAGTAACACATCTGAGGAGCTGATATTTGAGACTGGTATCTAAAATAAGGACAGATTTGTGAGACTTAGTCCCTACAATTGTGAAATATGAAGGTAACTCCAGCTAGTGGGAGTCAGAATTTCATTGAGTTGAATAGTAGGGAACCCAGTTGAAGTTGGAGAAACAGTGCAGTCAGAAGAGATACTAGGAATCTGGTATCAGGAGATAAAAAAAAATTACTCTCTTATTTGGTGTCAGAAGTGTCATGAGTAAAAATGGCTCAGCCAGTAGCCCAGAAAAACCTGAGAGGCAGTTACTCCAGAGTCTCATCTGGAAAAAAAGCTCCTTGCCCAACAATGTCCACACTAGCCTCCTGAGTGAATGTGAGAAGGCTTGGCTATCCTTGCCTGGAGATGTAAAACAGTGTGCTTTTACAGCTGACCCCCACTAAACAGAGTGCTCATATGGACACACTGACGTGGCAGGGGCTTTGAGGAACCCTGAGAGGACTGGGAGTTGCTCTTGCAAATTTTATGAAAATCTGTACTTGTTTTTACCCCATCATCTTCAGGATTCTTATACTGTCCTGCTTTATAAATGCTTGGCATGCATTTATTAATCATAGGTAAGCCCTTTCCCTCCTCTACTATATCTTATGAGTGTGTGTGTGTGTGTGTGTGTGTGCGCGCACGCACGGGGGGGTTAGCTTCCTTACCCACTAGCAGCGCTTCTCGTTCAGATTTGATAGGACTGCTGTTCATGGTCTTCTCAAGAGGGTAGTCGCTTTCCTGGCTTGATGCACACAGTCTAGAAGCACAGTTTTCCTGTGGGAATAACATGCTTCCTTGGTCAGTTTGCTGTATTTGGCAACAGAGCTGGTTTCCATTAACTACATAACAAGGACCTTTTAAACAAAGGACCATAAAACAGTACTGTCCAGTTTGGATAATTGAATAAGAGAAAAATAATATGAACTACAGAAGCACCACAGATGATCCAAAGCATCTTTATATGGCTTCAGAACAGAAAAATTTAAACATTTATCTTCACCAGTATTTTTCCTGCTTTCATCATTCTTAACTCTATACAAGAAGTCTAGGGAACCAGACTCAACAGTTATTGTGTAGTAACTAGATGCCAGGTAGTAATAGAAATGTATTATCTCCATTCTACAGATGAGGGAAATAAAGCTATCAGGTAAATTAGGTAAATGGACTAAGAATACTTTGCTAGAGTTTCATCCCAGGTCATTCACTGTTAGTTAAGAGGATCTCTTTTTTTTGTGTTCAAATTTTAGGTTCACTCCCAGCTAATGGTGAGTCTCACCTCTGAATGAAGAATCTGTAATATAGCCAATCCTCTCACAGGTTCTTAGCTACTGCCTTTAGAGCCTCTATCTAGTGACCAGTGGCTATTTTACATTCTTCTCTCTGGTAAGTACACTTGAGTGGTAAGTACACAATATATTTGACTTGGCCTGGGGATTTAGCTCAGTGGTACAGCACCTGCCTCATAAGCACAAAGTCATGAGTTCAATCCCCAGTAAAATATTCTCGACTTTTAGCAAGAATATCATTAGTCAGTGGCTTTCTTAGGCATTGACTTTTTTTCTTGCTTGGCATGGTTGGTAGGCTTACTGAGAGATTCAGGTGAAATCCACGCCCAGCAATGACAGTAAAAAAACACCTCCAGACCATCCATGGATCTTTCTTTCTGTGTTGAATGTTGAGAACATATTTCTTCAGAAGAAGGAATAAAAGAAATCATTGTTTCAGTCTCTCCATTTCAGTCATTTACTTTTGTAAAAGAAAATGCTGGGCAGTTGCTCCTTTGGGGACAGATCATATCTGACTCAGACAAAGGCGCTTTGTCACTTCTTCTCTTGCCCTCAGCAGGGGCAGGATTCCTTCCATTTTCTTTAAAGGTGTCTTCAAAGCTTCCCAGAGGCATCTCTGAATGAAACAAATGGTCTCTGCTGCAAGCCATGTTGTTTTGTGGGTTTACAGGTTTCCTGGCTGCAGTCAGAGGAGGACCCTTTGATGACCTACTCAATCTTTGGCTCTTAGAATTCAACCCAGGCAATAACAATCATGCCAAGTTTGATTTAAACTACATGCTTGCTTCTAAGCCCCGGGCTTCACATCTGCCTTTAACCCCCTTAAAATATTAAGTGAACCAGTAAACCATTTCTTAAGTGTGAGAGTTTAAAAGATTGGGGTTTATTTAAGATGTTATGATTTCCTAAGAAGTTTTAGCCATTTTCAATAGAACTGTGGCCTTACTGCAACTTGATTTTTATTTTATTATAGCTAGCATTTAAAGCATTACAAGGTATATTGCGAGGATGTTTATTTCCTCAAATTTTGCTAGTAGAGATAGTTTTTTCTGCAGTAAGATACACGTAAGTCCCATTGTTATATTGCAAAATACTGACAATAACTCACACTATGGTTTACTGTCAAGAAACACAAACAAAACTAACAAAAAAGAATCCCTCTTTACTGAAACTTATTGCTTTCCTTTCATCCTGAAATTATTTTTTGCAGTCTAATGTGATGGTGCTTTGTTTCCTAACCTAATTGTGTCAGGTTGAAATATTTGGTCACAAATCAGCTTCCCAGAGAAGATCAGTTTATAATGAACTGTCATGAATTCTTCTTCTAAAAGAAGCTATGCTTAAAACAACAAGAAAAAACATACTCTGACTCACTGTGTTTTGATTATCAGTTGGATTTCTCTCCTTGTCCTGTTTAGCTGCCACTTCCTGGTATATTCAGTTTCACAATGGGAAGCATTTTCCTCAGGCACAACATGGCAAGTTTCTTCTATGCCATTTGACCTCTTGTTTCTTTAAATGAAATTCTTTACAAAGCAGAAAGCTGCTTACATAAAAATGTCCTTAAGTCCATTTGTGATGTTAATCCTAATGAGCGATTCTGAGCATAATGTCATTAGTTTAACGCCACATCTATCTACAGTCTTCTGGCTACACACTCCATTCTATGTGGGAAGTCAAACTGAGCTATGTAGCAGCTTTGGGACAATTTAGAAGCTCTGATAGTATGAGGAAAGTCCTGATAAGTAGCACAGCTTTGGCACTTTTCAATTAAAAGCTTGACAAATGAATTTCCCCGGGATTGTGCTCATTTCTTTAATAGCACCCACAAAACTGGAAAGTGAGTTGGTTTTATGATGTGGAAGAATTAAAAGCATACTGCAAATGGCCTCCAGAAGAAAACACTTTCAATCATTTGTTTCAACTACACCAAGGTTCCCAGTTCTTAATGGCACTCTGAGGGACATCTCTGTGCTGGTAAATACACCCCTGGCCTTTGTGTACTGCATCTTCCTGAGCTGAGCATAGAAGATAAGAGAGGTAGCTATTTAACAACTGTGTAATTGTTGATTTCACACTCCTGGTCCAAGCTCCTAATTTTTTCTCTTCCTCACAAGATATTAACATGAGGCAGTTCTGGCCAAAGATCCTTCTTTTGAAGAGAATAACTTCAGCTGAATATTCAGGCCTAGAGGAGGTAGTCTGCATGCCTTCAACAGGCTGGGCACCTGACTCATGGTTGTAGCAGACTCAGGCTCTCACTTGATAAAGACCCATCTTGCTCTCTCTGTTGCTATTATCTAGGTTTAGCATACTGTGTCTCTTTTTCTTTCCAAGCTTTCCCTCCTTTTGGTTCTGGCTATTCCTCTAACTTGTGGCTGTTCCTTATTACACAAGAGGGACAGTGCACAAAGAAACTAAGCCTGTTTCTTCCTTTAATGAAATACTCAACCAAAGTTACTTTGTGTCACATGAGTTTTTCCCCCTGCTGTTTACTTGGCAAGATGAAGCAGGAAGAGAAGTGCAAGCTGGTCTTCTCCAAGAGGGAAGTCTGACAAACTTCAGGGATAGACTTTTTAATTCATTGAAAAAAATACTCTCCAGAACCTTCAGAAATGCCACAGACTCATATCTAAGAGCAGGGTCTTCAATACAAGAATTATCCTGGAATTGTGATTTTAATCTCTAGCCATCTAAACATTTCAGTATTGATTTCCACTGCAGAAACTCCTCGGCATTTTCACTGTCAGTGAAAAAGGGAAAGGGGAAAGGAAGAAAGGTTTACTTAGGATCTTGTACCTTTTCTTTAAGATTTTCCAACATTTTTTCCACCTGTAACTTGTCATCTTTGAGTTTTTCAAGTTCAGCTTCTTTCCTTTTGTACTCCTCTTGAACTTTGAGGAGATGCTACAAGAAAGACCAAAGACAATCATATCACTAAGAGCTAAGCTTCACTTAAAATATCTGGCTGAGGTTAGATATCAGGCAGGCTTGCCTTACCTTTCCCTAGCACACAGAATCCTTTTTCCATGTAGAGTTTGGAAAAATCATTACTCTTCACTTTATTTTATCTGGCCCTTAAGGAATTTTCTTGCATGTGCACCTGAGAAAACTAATTTATCCAGTCTCTTAGCTGGGTCTCCAGTCTGGCCAGGGGTCAAGATAAGGTGCAGTTAAAGCTGTGTGGGCAGTATTTTGATTGCTGAATAGACATGAACTTAATGTTGTAAAGCATTCTTGTAAATAGCCATTTGCCAAGCCAACCTCACTTTTTATAAGGAAAGTAGTAAAAAATTCATATTCACCTATGTTAGTATTCACACCAGTAGGCAAGTAGTTGGAGTTGTCTTTATTAATAATTACAACACACTATTTGTTGAGGGCCTAATATAGTCTAAGCATTGGGAATGGGCTAATTTAAGCCTCAGAATAACCTTATATTATTATCTTTGAGGCTTAGAGAGGTGAAGTGGCTTCCCTATAGACATTCAAATAGGAAGTGGCAGAGCTATATATAAAACTAGGCTGGGTCAGCCCCAGAGTTCATGTTCTTAAACACATATTGTACTATTCATCTTTAAAAATAAGGTGGGAGAAATTTTATAATTGATTACAAGGCTAATTCCCCATAAAAGGTAATTTGAATGAGTGAAATTAATTTTTAGGAGGTAGAAACCTAATTCTATGAGGTCTTTGAAATGATGAAATAAAAAAAATGTTCATTATTTTCAAATGGCATTTAAGTGGTGGAAATGTCCTTAGGTGAAATGATTTTAAAATTGGTGTTGGAGAGGACAAAATAAAACAAAAATGTTTCTGAAGTTTTACTTTTCAAAGGCTTGCAAAAGAGTATGAGAAGGGTTGAAAAATAGAGTACACTGTGCATTGTTAACGTTCTTTGATATAATTTATGTGTTCTAATTAAACTCCAGGATGACAATAAAGGGAAGGTAAGTATTACTTCACACATTTTGCTAATAGGAAAGGTGAAATATTAATGCGATGTTACCTGTCACACAGGAAGACAATGGCAGCAGAAGTAATAACATGGGGCTGGCTAGTGCCAGAAGAGATTCCCTGCTCATCATTTATAATTTCCAACCAGCAATTATCTTTGCCTAGATAATTCCAGGGCATAAAGTTAAAAATTATTGCACAATTTAAGTTGTACAGAAAATGGCTGGTAGTCTGGCATGACAGAAGAAGATATATACTTCCTCTGAAGCACTAATCCTTTACTGTAATGAAAGCAGATGTTGATATCTTTTAAATTGTGTGCTTACTGTGGTGCTAGTTGCATCAAACTTCTAGATATTAAGTATCTATTACCCAAATACTATCTCTGAATGCAATTGAAGTTGGATGCACTTCTATTAGTTTTCTTTTTATACTTGGAACTATGTGCAGGTAACTTTATCCATATAAATGAATGTGCAAACAATAAAAACAAATTGGTATTATGCACCCAAAACACTGATACTTACAGATCCATAATGTCCCCATTTCCACCCAAACCAAGAACAGATAGTATTCGTGCCATTTCTTCTACAAGTCTGTATTACTTGTCTTTCTATCAACTAAATGCTTATTCATCATTACTTTTTCATAAATAATTAATGTTCTTCATAAAGTCACTGAGACCCTATCTGGATTCCGCAGACTTTCTGAAGCACAAAGAAAAGAGAAGATTGTGTCCAATGTAATTTTAATGTTAAGCATTTCCCAGTGAACACTTATTCTTTGAATATTGATGATCCACTGCTATTTCTGTATTAACCAGATTATTTCATTACCCACACCACATACTCTCTTCCTCAACCATGCCAGCAACTATGACATCAAGAAGAATAGCAGATTTGATATTTTATTTTCTTGCAGAGAACACTTTTACAGGTGAAGAACTGACGTTATTTGTCCAAAAGGTACAGAAAACAAAAATGGCTATACCTGCTGCATTCCTTGTAGGGCCTGTTGCAGGAGTTTCAGCTGCTGTTCCTTGTTTGGGTCATCTTCCTTTTGGGCTTTGCCTTGTTCTTGTTTGAGTAGTTCTACCTCATTCCGATACGCATCTAGCTGCCAACGGAGGCTGTCATTTTCTTCCTTTAGAGCCTCTGTCTGTGATACTAAGGCTAAACAATCCATGGGAAATGTTAAATCATATGTCCAGATTTCTTTGTGGTGCACCTGAGTACTATGAAAATTTGGTACTTTAAATTAATATGGATAAAAATTCTCTCGTTGAGGAACTTTAGGTCTGAGTTAGCCATGGCAACAAGAGATAGGCACAAAAGCACAAAGGGGTACATTTTTGTAAATGAGCCAGGCTTCTAATACACAAAAGTCATTATGGTTCATATTCATCATCTTACATATAACCAAGATATTTCCAAGGAACATCAGTTACTTTTATTTGAAATGGTGCAAATAAGAGCCCTGTAATAATAAAACATAGGACTAATCTCCTTGGAATGACTACTGCCTACACAATAGTTTTGCTGAAAAATATTTTTAAAGAATGTAGTATTGACTAGTCTTGCAGAAAAAATGAAGTGTATAAAATAAGACATAAGATTTCTAGTTTCTAGTCCAGTATGTGAGGGATATGAGAAGTTCCCACTTTGTCTTAAGAGCAAATAAAAATGCTAAGCAAAGTGAAAATTTAACAACTCCTTTTATATCCATCAGATAAACAAGGCTATGTTCAGACCTCTGTCCACCACATTAGAGATACAGGAAAGTGAATGTAGCAAATCACAAGGAATCCAGGAGCAGAAACCTCCATGGGAATTTGTTCCAGAGTAGAAGAACTTAAACTGCAATTGACCAGTTCTTGGATACTCTGTATGGACAAACCTGTAAGTCAAAAACTTTGAAGCAGTAGGCACTTTTAAAAATTTTGCTCCTAAGAGCTCTAGCAGGTCTTCACAGCGAATAACAGAGAAAAATCTCCTGCATCTGGTAGGAGAATGGTAAAGAATCATTTTGAAATTTGAAATGCCAGAGAATTGTTTTAACTTTAAACAATTTTTAGCATATGTTTTAAATTCATAATGATTATATCCATTGTGGGGAGTTGGTACTGCACATAACATAACTTAATTCTTTATTTTCATTTCCTGCCCCTCCCTTCTCTCATCCCCTTCTTGTCCATCTCTTGGTCCCCTTCCTTTCTGCAAAAGTTCTACTTCCTGTTTTATATTATCAATCTTTTATTTCAGAGCATTATGTATTTCATAACAAGGCCTGCCTTCAGGGAACATTATTTTATCAGAACCTAACTTGCTGGAGGTTTTAAAAGAGCATAGGTGACCTGGGGGCATGGAAATTCTCAACTCCAGCTCCCTCTAGCCATCCTGTCCCACCTAAGGGTGGCAGAAACAAAACTGAGAAGCACTGTTGAAGTTCACAGTCCAGAATATAGGCTCACCCAAAGTCTGAGAATTACAGACTAGAGAATTAGGTAGCATTCCAACCAAAAATTACAAGGTGTACTAGATGGCAAAATCCAGAGTTTGAAGATACAGAAAAACATCAGAACAGATATAGATACAGTAAGTATGTTGGATTTATCAGACTGGGATTTAAAAGAAACTCTATAATTAATATTTGAAGGGCTTTAATGAAAATAGTATACAAGAACACAGGAATAATATAAGCAGAGGGAAGGAAATTTGAAGGAGGAATAAAAAAGAAATGCTAGAGGTTAAAAGCACTGTAACAGAAATGAAAGTGACTTTGATAGACTGTTAGTAGACTGAATGTGACTGAGGAAGATTGAGGGTTTGACCCCAAGGGCATACCCCTATGATCCCGTTCCTTCAACTAAACCCCATTTCTTAAGTTTTCATCACCTCCCAATAATATCATCAAATTATGAATTCAATAATCCAGTGATGAAGGAAAAGCACTCATGATCCAGTATCCTTCCCAAACCCCTGTCTCTGAACATTGCCCCACTAGGGATGAAGGCTTCAACACATGAGCCTTTGGGTGACATTTCAGATCTGAATGATATCAGCACATTTATTTATAGTTGTCCAAATTTGGAAGTAAGCTAGATGTCTTCCAGTAGGCAAAGAGATAAGCTGTGGTATATCCAGACAATGGAATATTATTCAGTGCTAGAAAGAAATGAGATATCAAATCGTGGAAAGATATGAAGGAAATTTAAATGTTATACTAAGTAAAAGAAGCCAATCTGAAAAATCTACATACTATATGACTTCAACTATATGACATTTTGGAAAAAGCAACACAAACACCATAGAGACAGTGGTTTCCAAAGGTTAGTAGGGAAGGAAGAGGGTAGAATAGGTAGAGAACAGAGGAGTTTTAGGGCACTGACACTGTTCTTAAGATAGTACCATGAAAGATACACGACATTTTACATATGTCAAAACCCACAGAATGTACAACACTGAAAATAAACCCTAATATAAATGATGGGTTTTGGGTGATGATGTATCAATGAAGATTTAGTGAAACACATGTACCACTCTGAGGCAAGAGGATGACACTAGTGAAGACTCCCTTGGTAAGGACAAGGATTATATAGGAACTCTACCTCCTGCTCAGTTTTCCTGCGAACCTAAAACTGCTCTGAAGATAAAGTCTATTAATTAAAAAATGAAGTTACACAAGGAAACCTAGGTTAAACTTAATTACTTGTAGGTTTGGGCATATGTTTTAAGTTAGAAATTATAAAGTCTGTTCCTGTTTTTGTTGTAATGGAGATTGAACCCAAGACCTTTTCACTGAGCTACATCCTCAGCCATTTTTTATTTTGAGACAGGGCTTTGCTAAATTGCTAACCTACCCAGGCTGGGCTCAGTGTTGCAGTCCTCCTACCTCCGCCTCTCAGAATGCTGGAATTGCAGGTGTGTAACACTGCACCCTGCCAAAATATTTAATCAGAAGATTTTTCACTAATTTAACATTTAGTGAGTATCTTCTACGTTGTAGGCTGACTATGGTAAAAAATTATATGACTATTAATTTATGTTGTTTAACACTATGTTAGTCGACATATTTGTAATTTATTCTTTTTCTTTTTCTTTTTCTTTGCTGAATTGATATCATGGCCACTGAACCACATGCTCAAGCTACCTTTTCTTGATTATTAATAGAACAGACAGCCTATAAGGGATATTATCAAGATGGATCAAGAGTACAAACTGATATATTAAGTATATACAAAAGTTAAAGGGAAATTTGACAAAGATGTGGATTTTCCCAGCAACAGCGAGGGACTGTGGGTGGCACACAGTAAAAGAAAAGTAATGGGAATAAAAACCACTGAAATTATTAGTCAATAAACAGTAGAAGAGTTTTTAAAAAGGAATATCAAAGACAAGATCCATCTTGTACTTAAGTAATAGAAAAAATTGTTTTTTACAAAGACGAAATATACAGAAGAAAACTATATTCAGAGGACAAAAAACATTCCACACTCCTAAATGAAGCTGCCTTTGAGGAGACACTGGCTTTAGTTCAATGCCTTGAAACTAAGGGGTTTCCGACAACTTTTAGGTACTGATGTAGGCTGCTGAGATCAGACTGTCTATCCAAAGCAGAGTGGCAATGATTATAATAGGAAGGGTTCTGGTTAGAAATATCTTTTTGTAGTGTTGAGACATTCTCAGCATCTACATTTGTTTTCTGTGGGTAGCCACGAACTTATCCTGATATGGTAGTTTTAAACTTCATATTTTGGTTTTAAAAAATTACCAAAGGCCTTTGGCATGAAACTTTCCTTCATGTTTGTTTCTGTTACTGATTTAAATCATTAATGTAATCACACACATTTTACATCTTGGAAGAGAAAGCAATTACACAGAGACTTGGTTTTCTAGCCTTCCAAATATAATCTGTCCTTGCTATCTCCCATTGGCTGAGATACTTTCCATCAGATAGGCAGTGCTGCTAACAATCACAATACTAAAGAAAATGAATGTGATTATATATGCAAAACTATATACAAAAAAAGAACATTCACCATCTGCCAAACAGAGGAAGAAATACTTGGTCAGCACCAAGGACAACTTCTTGAGCTAGAGTTCAGGTAAACAGCATACAGGTAATTCTATAAATTAAGTGACTCTTTCAGATGGGCAGTTAGTTATTTCTGACATAGTTTGGATGTTTGTTCTTTGGCAATCCACATAGCTAAACACAAAATAGTAATATTTCATTTTCCTTCTTTTGGCCAGTGATTATGCTCATGTTCTACATGTTACATGGAGATATATGGTTGAGAAAAGGGCAAAGATTTAGGGGCATAGTTAGAGGTATATCCTTGAGCTTCTATGTAGAAATATTTTCCCTCTGAGAAAATGAGGAGAAGACACTGCTTCTGTTCTGCCTGTCAGGGTGGGGGGCATGCTGATGAACAGCAATGAATGGATATCTGCAGTCAAGTGGAAGCAGATAATAATCTTCCCAGTTTGGACCTATCATTAAGCAAAAAAAAAATTGTGATAACCTATAATGCTACTGCGGGGACCTTCCCTAAAAATATGTTTCTCATTCCCTGAAATGAGGGTTTTGTCATTTTAATGAGGACACCAAGTCTTTCCTTTCACAGGCTGAGTATTAATTGGGCCCATTTCTGAAGTTGGAGTTCTTTGTACATTGCCAGAACATCAAAAAGTTCAATATTACCTTTTAATAATATGCTTGAATACGTGAATCCATCAGCCCTGATACTAAAGAGCATAGTACAGTGAATGTATTCATAACCTGACATCATTAGTTCTCAGCTTCTCCTTTTTGACTTTTTCCTATTTGGGAAAATGTGTCTCTTTATGGGAATTGCTCCTCAGATCTGAAGGCTGCCAGTTCATTGTGGCAATGTGAAAGTACAAAGGCAGCTGTGAACACCTCCTTCTAGAGGAGCCACTAACAGCAAAATCCCAGACATGTTTCTGCATGAAAGATTGAAAAGGATTTTTGTGCCATTAAAAAATTAATGTGTAGTCTTCTTCAGTGGTGCAAAAGAAACAAACAAAAAGTAACAGAAGTAAATTCAGGGCATTTGTCATTTTTACAAAGTGTCCTAAGAGGAAATGCTAAAAAAAGTTATGGGAGAAACAATGTACAACATTCCTCTCAAGACTCAGAAAAAAGTTTC